CGCCTCGGGCCGGACGCGTTTGGCGTCGGGCGCGGGCGCTGGCGCCGCGGGCCGCTTGGCAACGGGCGGCGGCTTTGGCGCGGCGGGCTTGCCGCTGGACATGGCCTTCCAGGCCTTGACCAGCTCGACCGCGGCCTTCTTGACCGCCTCGTTCTCCACCTTGCGCGCGTTGTTGACCACGTGCCCCGCCTTTGACGCCATGAGCGCCTCGACCGTCATGGGCAGGTGGGCGAACAGCGAGAGCAGCACGCGCGTCTGATCGGCCCGCTCGCCAGACATGCTCGCCTCGAGCCACTTGACGAGGCGCTTGAGCGCCGCCTCCGAGCGCACAAAGGCGTCGAGCAGCGCCGCGTCCTCGGTCGCCTTGAGCGAGGTGGCGACCAGGTCCTGCCCCGTCTCGTCGAGCGCGCCGCCCGTCTCGTCCGACGCCAGGAGCGAGATGAGCTGCTTCATCTGCGGGGCGCCGCGGATCTCGTCGTTTTGGCCGCACAGCTCGGTCATGGCGGAGATGAGCGCCATGTTTGGGTCCTGACAGAGAGCGGGTGCAGGTCAGCGCGCCCGCACAGGGGGAGACGACGCGCGCGCAGGACGCGGGAGGCGCACATTTTCCATCGCGCCGCGGGCAGGCCCGACTGGCCGCGCGGGGGGCACAATCTGCTGGGCGCGCGCGAGACGGTCCTAGGCGGAGGGCGCGCAACATGGGGTTGAACACACGTACACGTGGCGCGCGCGCAAAGCGCGCAGTTTATGCGTAGTGCGGTTTGTGGGAAAGAGCCCAAGATGGGAGTAAGACACGTATACGCGGACGCCGCGCCTCTCACGCACCCCAATGGTGATAGCGCCCTCCCCCATCCCCCGTATACCCCGCGCAGCACCTGGTTTTGCCCAAGCCCAGCAGCCTGTACAGCCCACTCCTCGGCTACCGAAAAAAATTCTTCAGACGCAAGCCTCTCTCACATTTAAAATCCCTGTTCTCCCATCCCTCCCTTGGGTTGTGTGTTTTCTTTCTTTCTTTCATTTAAAATCCCTGTGTGGTGGCGGCGTGCCGTCCTCCCATCCCTCCCTTGGGTTGTCTGTTTTCTTTCTTTCTTTCTTTAGCACACTGGCACGACAAGGGCGCGGACTGGCGCGGACTGGCACAAAAGAAGTACAGCATATTTTCTGGGGCCGCCTAAGCGACTCCTCGACGACGACGACGACGACGACCCAATGGTGACAGCACCTGCTCCTCTCCGCCCACAAGTGATAGGGAGGGTGGAAGAAATGTGTAACCATTCTCGAGGCGCTCGCGCCTCCGGACAGCGTGCCGAGCGCCTGCTACAGGTTTGCCTGCAGCCCAGCCGCAATCGCTGCGGCGGCAGCTAGTCGGTTCGGCCTGGACTCGCGCGCGCCGAGATGTGGGAACCCAACACACGGCGCGTCGACCCGCCTCCGCTTTTGCAACAAAGTCTGCTTGGCTTGTGCAGGTGATTGATGCCCAGAGCTGCAGAGACGACGCCGGCAGCCTCGGCTCGACCTCGAAGGCGGATCTCGTAGCCAAAAACCTGTGCTCTATTCGTCGGTGGTTCACCGTACCGGTACTGCGTACACGCCTGTGTAGGAGCGGCTCTCGCGTCGCTCGCGCCGCCGAAGACTGATGACTGTCTATGAGGGCACCTGTTTGGAGCAGGCAACAAGCCTCACCCCCTGGCTAAGCGAAAGAGAATTACGGCGTATTCTTTCTTTTTCTGGGGCCGCCTAAGCGACTCCTCGACGACGACGAGGTAGGTAGGTAGGTAGAAAGGTGAAGAACAGCCAGGCTCGGACTGGACACCAACGCGGTATGGGTGGACGCGAGACAGATGATGACGACACGCACGAACAACACACAGACACAAACAAGCTCACAAGACACACAGCCAGCTGGCTGCCACACACCCTGAGTTGGCGTACACATAACTCAAGGCCACATCCTCCTGTCGCCCCCCCCAGCACTCCAAGGTGCCAAGAGAAACAAACAAGGGCACAACAAACAACAGACGACAGGAAGCAACGTGCGAGGCTAGAGCAGGCTTGCTCGTCCTCTAGCAATCTCCGCCGACCGCGAGGCCGGACTAGACCGTGTGTGGGGTCATGTGAGGTGTCTCTGGTCACTCTCCTCAGGGGCTAGCCGCCAGCGGCCAGCCCTATCTCGCACTCACAGGCAATGACAATCCAATGTATGAGTGTATGCAAGCAGAGGCGCGTGTGCTGGTTCTAGGCCGCACGTCGTGGCATATGACTTGGGAGGCGTGCGACCGCAGCGCGCCCGCCGTCAGCTCGACGGGGCGCGCATGTCAGCGAGATGTTTGCCGGTACTCTCTCGTTCGCGTTCTGTTCTCGTGCTGGCCGGTCGCGAGTTCGAGTTGGTGGGGGGGAGGGGGGGGCCTTCTGGGCCTTCTGCGCCTTCTGCGCCATCTCGCCATCTCGCCATCTCGCCATCTCGCCTTCTTGCCGCGCGAGCCGCGGGCGGCGCCCGTGTTTTTGCTCGCCGGGCGGCCCACACGCCGTCGCGTTTCGCGCTTCCTCGCGTGCTCGGGCCTCGGCGGGCAGCTCTTCGTCTGGTGCTCTGCTAGCCGCTAAATGTGCTGCTGCTTGGCGTGTGGCAGGGCTACTGGCACGCGGAGCTGGTGTATCCACCCGTCTCAGCTCGCTGCCGATCTCTACTACTACCTCCCGCGTGGCGTGCACGGGAGGCGTCGGGTATCCCGTGTGCCCGGCGGGCGGGGCGCGCACCATGCTGCTTGCGGGTGATCGACCGGCGCTCGACGAAACTGGACAAGCAAAAAGAAATCGGGGGCGGGACGCGACAAAGCACATGCTCGCCCGATCCACCACGGACACCAGCCCCGACGCGTGGGCGGCTGCGCTCGCTGCGCTCTGCTCGCTCGCCGACGCCGCCGTCGCCGGCGGCGCGCCGCCGCCGGCCAAGGCTGCGAGCCTGCTCTGCCGGCAGGCGGCGCGGCTGAGCGCCGCCTTCCCCGCCACGTCGTTCCTGCACGTCGAGGCGCGCGAGGTGCTGCCGCTGCTCGAGCTTCCCGAGCCGCTCATCGCCCACGTCGTGTCCCACCTCGCGACGATCGGCGACATGGCGTCGTTTGGCTGCCTCTGCACCGCCACCGCGGCGGCGCTCGGGCACGCGTGCGAGGTGCGCGCCGAGCGGCGCGGCTCGCGCCTGCCCGCGCTGCTCGCCGCCGAGCGGCCGCTCGACGCGCTCCGCTTTGTCGAGGCGCTCTGCGCGCAGCCGCCGACCACCATCGCCGCCGGCTCGGCGCACACGCTCGCCACCGCACCGGGCGGAGGGGCGTGGAGCTGCGGCGGCGACTCGCTCGGGGAGCGCGGCTTCCTCGGCCACCTCGGCCACGGCGCGCCGCACGCCCCGCCCCGCCCGCTTCCCGCGGGCACACGTCCACGACGCGTCCACGCCACCTCCCGCAGGCGAGCTGTACGGCGCGCCAGTCTGCTTCCCGCGCCGCGTCGCGCGGGCGGGAGGCGGGCTCGAGGCGGCTGCGTGCGAGGCGGCGGTGCGCGAGGTGGCGGCGCGAGGCTACGTCTCGCTCCTCCTCACCGCCGACGGCGCCGTCTTCTCCTGGGGCTGGAACGGGGACGGCCGCCTCGCGCACAAGGCCGCCCCCGGCGCCGCGGCCGGGGGCGAGGAGGCGCCGCTCAAGAGCGAGCACCTCCCGCTGCCGCGCCGGCTCGCCGGCCTCGGCGGCGTGGCCGTCGCGCGCGTCTCGTGCGGCGAGCGGCACGGCCTCGCCCTCTGCCGCGCCGGCGCCGCCTGCTCGTGGCGCGACGGCCGAACTCAAGGCGCCGAGTTGAGACGTCGGGCGGACGAGTCTAGGCGCTGTCTACTCGTGGGGGCTGGACACGCACGGCCAGCTCGGTCGCTCCGAGGCGGGGCGGCCGCCTCCCCGCAATGCCGACGCGCTAGGAGCCGCCGGCCCGTCGCCGCCGGCCAGGACGCCGAGCGAGACGCGCGCGCGCGCGCCCGGCCCGGTGTGCGCGCTCTCGCACACGCGCGTGGTGGACGTGTCTGCGGGCGGGCTGCACTCCCTCGCCGTCTCGGAGCAGGGCGAGCTCTTCTCGTGGGGCGCCGGCCGGAGCGGCAAGCTGGGCCACGGCGACGAGGAGATGCGGCCGCTTCCGACGGCCGTGCGGGCGCTCGAGGGGCGGCGGATCGTGCGCGCGTGCGCGGGTGACTCCCATTCGCTCGTCCTCGGCGCAAACGGCACCCTGTACTCGTTTGGGCTCGGCGAGGGCGGCCGGCTGGGGCACGGCTCCGAGGAGCGGCTGCTGACTCCGGCGCCCGTCACCGCGCTGCTGCGCGCGGGCGCCGTCTGCGGGATGGGGGTTGGGTCGTACCACTCAATCGTGCTCGTGAGGCCGTGGCCCGGCGGCGCGAGCGCGCAGAAGCGCGCCGCGGGCAACGACGCGACCGAGACCGCGCGGAGCAACTGCTTGACGTCCGAGGCCCCGGAGGCGAAGCGCGCCGCGGTGCTGTCCTTGCACGCCGCGATCGATGCGATGGAGCCGCCGGACGGCGCGGAGCCGGCCGGCGACGCGGACGCGAGCGAGGCGACGCTCGTGTACACGTTTGGCGACGGCGCGTACGGCAAGCTCGGCCACGGCGACACGGCCGACCAGCTCTACCCGCGGCTGGTTCGCTCTCTGGGCGAGGGCGTGGCGGAGGTCGCCGCGGGCTACCAGCACTCGGCCGTGCGCACGCGGCGGGGCGGCGTGCTGACCGCGGGCATCGGCTGGAAGGGGCAGCTCGGCACCGCCGACCTGGGCGCGGGCCGCGAGGCGCTCGGCATGGCCCCCGACTTTTACCACGCACGCGAGTTCCAGCCGGTGGGCGCCGAGCCAAGCTGCAGTAGTAGATGTGCGAGATGAGACGCCCATATGACGCTCATGCATGGAGTCCGAGGGGCTCGAAGGGGCGCGGAGCGCCGCGCGCGGAGTGCGTCCCCGAAGGACAATCAAAAGCGAACTTTAGCTCCTGAGTCCTGTGCCTGTGGCTGTGCCCCGCAGAGTAGTGGTGTAGACTATGACAGTTAGTAAGAGACGACCTGGTCCACGGTCTCACATATCACAAGGCGCTCGACGAGAAGAGAGGACAAGGCAGCTGGCGCATGAAATAAATGGCTAGCCAAATAAAATAAAAACGGACTCGGACACCTCCTCCGCTAGCTCTACTGTGTGAGGTGGGTAAAAAGGAACAGGTCCCCGCCCTTGCGATCTTTTTGCAGGGTTCTTTGTGGGTGTGGTCGGCGACTAGCCGGGGTCGTCCTCCCGATGGGGGACTAGCACTAGCCGTCTTCCACATGGTCCCTCGGGTCCCTGGACCCTGCTGCTCCTAAAATCTCTTCGTACATCTCCTCCTCGCTCCTGCGGATCTCCGCAAAGTCCTGCTCCCTCCCTCGTCTCGCCCTGCGCGTCTGCTCCGCCTCAACACCCCCGGCGATGTGCATCCACCTATCCTCCGCCGTTTGTACGCCGTTTCTCTGTACTCTTTCTTGAGAATGAGATTCTTCGGACTTCGCCTCGAGCGGGGATACTGGGTTCACTTTGGGTTTTTAAAGCCGTGGGCGGGGGGCATCACATTGTGGGGTAGCACTCCCATGACCTCATGACCTCCTGCGGTCTCTGAGATGGGCACCACAGTGGGTGTGGGACCACAGGCACAGCCAGGGTAACGTACACTCGAGAGAACGCGCTCTCGTGTCGCTGGGCAAGCAGTAGAGGTCGACGTGGGACGACGCCGTACCACACTCCACCGGCCAGACGCGCACCGGCCAGGGCTAGGAATTACAATAGTGCCAGTGAGGCGGAGGCGCGAGTCGGAAAGCGGCCGCGACCATCAGCTCAAATAAAAAAAATCAAATGTGCGCCTGTTCTGTGTGTTCATTTCCCCCTCCTCGCCGCCTGGGTTCCAACTTTTTCCGGGGTATGGTATGGTAGGCTCGGCGGCCCAAAAGGGGGGGGGGGGGTATGGCCCTGACCGCCCAAGGCTAGCCCTACCATACCCCAAGCAGGTCTTCCAAGAGGCGGGGGGGTATGGTGTCTCGAGGTGGGTTGGCCGAGCCTACCATACCATACCCGGGTACCCCGGAAAAAGTTGGAACCCTGCCAAATCACCGCGGCCGTCTGTGCCTGCTTCCGAGTATGACTCCGAGTTCGACTTTTCCGACGCTGAGGCGCAGGATAGGACGGCAGGGGTCGTACACGACGCAGTTTAGCAGGCTGTGATGCAATACGGCTATGGGCTATGCTAGGGGCTATGACGACGAGCTCTTCCAGGCGTGGAGGGACGGCGAGATACGGCGAAAGGACTTGCCGGAGGAGGTGGAGGCTATGGCTTTGGACCTTTGCGAGAGGTGGCGAGCGGAGCAAGAGCGGTGTAGGCGCGTCCACGCGGCGCAGCGGCTCTCCCGCGACCCCGGCCCCTCTCGTAGCCGCAGCCGTATAGCCGCAGCCCCAACCAGGCCCCAACTCTTGCCGCTCTTCTGTGTCGGGTTGTGACGAGGGGTGAGGGGACACGGATTGAAGATCCCTCACACCAAGATCGTGCAGGGCGGGGACACATGTCCCTAAATCCCATCTCGTCTCAGATGTTGACCGTTTATTCATTTATTTTTTCCGATTTCAGTTTTCAGAATTTGCAACAATGTCACCCCGCCTGGGCCCTGGCCCTGCGGATCGCTGTGAACCCAAGCACGCGTATCGGCCTTCAAAACCCTTCATGAACACAACTTCACAAGCCCTCACTCCATGCGCATGCCTCACCCGACACCCCCAGCAATGTATCCCCCGTCCGCCGCTACAAACTGCCCTGCCACCTCTAGTCGACCATCTCCACGAGGCCTGGCATGTCCCCCTCGAGCGCTGGTCGGGACGCGTGGTGGCCGCCCTCGCTCGCGCCCTGCACAATGCCCCAGTTGTGGTCGCTCCAGTCCGCCCGCTGATCCACAAAGGCGGTCGCGAGCACCATCTGCTCGTCGTAGTCGAGGAAGTTGCTGTTGTGCAGGTTTAGCTCGCCGGCCCGCCCCCGCACGGGCGGGTGGCGCGAGGCGATCACCGCGTCCATGTACTGGTTGCCGCTCGGCTCCTCCACCAATGCGTAGGCGATCGGCCGAGCGCTCGCCACGTCGGTGCCGGTCGAGTCGCTGAAGACGACGCGGTCGCCGAGCGGCGCAGGCACGAGGTGGCGGACCTTGGCCTGCGCGCCGTACGGGTCCGCCTTCCGGAAGAAGCGCGACGGCAAGACGCCTGCGGCGGAACTCGGCCTCTCCCATGCGTCGGGGAATGCGAGAAGCTACGGAGGGGAGAGTGGGAGAGTGCGCCGGCGGAAGACTCTGGGAGTGTGCGCTCCGCGCCTGTGCGGAGCGCGTCACGCAGCCCGCCGAAGAGCTCGTCGAACTTTTGCGCCGCCCGGGCCGGGTCCTTGAGCACGTCGGTGCTGGCGGACGGGTCCCAGCCAGAGTAGCGGCCTCGCTCGCCGGCAGAGTAGGGCTCGTGGCGGAGGGTCTGGTGCTTGACGTCCCGCAGCAGCCACTCGACGCCGAAGAACTCCGCCTCGAGCAGCACTCGCTTGCAGAGGTCGGGATCGGTCTCCGGCAGCAGCGCCACGTGGTTGCGGAGGCACGAGAGCAGCACTTTGAAGGCATCCGGGTCGCGGTCGAGGTATATCTCTCGCGATTCGCTGGCCGGAGCCCACTCGTGGGAGAAGAGCGAGGCAAAGTATGTGCACGAGCTCGTCAGCGTGGAGATGGTTGACTTGAAGAGAGTCCCGCCGACGTCGAGCACCACGCAGTCCTGAGCGGTGCGGCGCCGCTTGTGTGGAGACGTCGCGTCCATGGCGTCCATGTTTAGCTGCTAAACCGCGAGCCGGCTGGACGATGTCGGGAAACATTAAAAAAACCGCGACGGAGATGTACGTAAGAGCTACATACACAGCGCCCACACACGCACACACGCACGCGCGCGCGCGCGCGCGCGCACACACACACATGCATGCATGCACAGACACAGCGCCTTCCCCTTCCCCCACAAGGGCGAGGACACACACGCACACAGGACGCACCTCTAGCGAGGCCCGCATAGTATGTGGGAGACTCCTGCCGCCGCCCCTGCCTGCCACCCCTGTGTCAGTGTGCCTTGAGCACTTGAGCACTTGATAGGGTCGATTCCGCATGGTACGGGCTAGGGTACGGGACCCCTCCGATCGTCTCGCCCTCCCTCACTGGTGTGTTCATTGGGGGGGGGTCATAACAAACACGGTACAGGATCGAGGTGCACGCTGCCGAAGCAGTGTCGTCCCCCCTCTCCCCGACGGCGATGGCGGTGTGACCGATCGAGCTACAAGAGGAACTTGTTCAGCAGGATCTGAGTTAGACCGGTGCACTACCTCACTGGGCCTGAGATCACCGGAATGCTTGAGAGAGAGATTTTTGAAGACCAACAAGAAATCACGACTCTCACAGTGATTTGGGCTCGGCAGCTTGTTAGCCCTCAGCCGAAGCTGGGGCCGGTCCCGTAGCCGAGAGAGCCCGCGCCGATGAGTTCGACGCGGTCGGGGGGCCCTGCGGAGAGGCCAGCGAGATGGCGATCGCTATACTTCATGGTGTCATCAAGTGACGGGCTGACAAGCCAGAGGTCGATACTCTGGACGACCCATAGGATGCCACGAATGCCTGAAGGAGAGGGAGGCGAGGCCAGAGGCAGGCTCAGGCGCTCAGCTGCTCTCGGGTGATCTCGCTTTAGTGGCTGAAAGACCCGATGGTCCTGTCACATTCGCGTTCCGAGTCGTGGGGGTAGAAGAATTCGAGGTAGAATCGAGTCAGCACTTCCCCTCTCTTCTTGTGTGCCTGCCTGTGGTTGCGAGAGACTGCCAGTGAGATGAGAGAAGCTGGAGGCAGGCAGGTCGCTAGATAGACTGAGATGAGACCGCCAGTGGAGTTGGGAGTCCACCGTGCACCGCGCTGCGAGCCTGTCGTGTCCCTTGTCAGGAGCCCTCCTACCGCTACGAGGGATACCCATCACTGAGCCGACGATGCTATGGGTAGCCCCAGGGTGGCGCCCACCCCCATACCCTCAGGCACTTGCCTGCGCCCTGCCCGCGCACGCCGCGCACGCGCGCGCGCACGCCCGCGCACGCCGCGCACGCGCGCGCACGCCCGCGCACGTGCGCGCACGCGCGGCACTACGCCCGCGCACGTGCGCGCACGTGCGCGCACGTGCGCGCACGCGCCCCGCGCACGCCCGCGCACGCCCGCGCACGCCCGCGCACGCCCGCGCACGTCCGCGCACGTCCGCGCACGTCCGCGCACGCCGCACTACGCGGCACTGCCCAGGTTCCCTCACGCTCAGATTCCCTCACACTCAGATTCCCTCACGCTCAGATTCCGTGCAAGGGGGTGCCGAGGTATGCCACAGGCCGGGATGGAGTGAGATCTTGCGGGGCAGGGCGTGGGCTAGTGCGCGAGGGCGCACATGGGGGTGGGCGCCACCCTGGGGCTACCCGTAGCATTGTCGGCTCAGTGATGGGTATCCGAGAAGCGGCCGGACAGTCGGGACGGGCTAAAAATTTCTTTTCCTTCGAAGGCTAGCCGCAGCTCAGAAAAAGAAAGGAACACAACGCATAAGGGACATTCTGCAGAGATGCAGGGAGGAGCTCAGCCTAAGGAGGAGCTGAGGGGAAAAACGCGAAAATG